CATTTTGATAACACTATCATTCTAGAAGCCTAATATTGAGAGGGAGCTAGAGTGAAATTTTGATCCTCAGCCAATGCTGAAGGGTAAGGTGAGAGAAAGATTTTACTGAACTCTTTTCAGAAAGGAATTTCAAATGTATTGATGCATTATTCATTTTCCACTATCCAGTGTGCACTTCCTGAGGACTTAGCATAGAAATTTCAAGTCCTTACTATTTGTTTGGCTGCCTTTTTCTGCACAGCAATGAAGCAAGTAAGGTTTATTTAGCTCTAGCATTGACCCAGCTGTATTTTTTTCTTGCAAAAGCAGGTTTTTAAAATTGCGGGTTTTTTGCGGGTTCGGCTCAGCCAAAATCAGCTTGCGGGTAGTTGTGGTTGGGCAAGGGGTAGCTGCGGGGCGGGGCGGGTAATGAAATTGCAAATTTGTGGCATCTCTACTTCAGGGTGTAAAGACAGTTTCTGGAAATATTTCTTCCAGCTACCCGCATTTAACCATCGCATGCACATGCAACCCTCCTAAGGTTTTTCACATATACAGGGTTGGGCAGATAAATTGGGACAAAATACATATTTGCATTCAAAACGCCGTAGCTTAGAAATTGTAAACATAGGCATTTCAAATTTGGATCACATATTGTCACACCAATTTTACACATTTTCACCAAATATGGTCACCGTGGTCCACCTACATCAGTCCTTATCGGTGCCTGGACTGGCCGCACGCGCGGCGAGATCTTCCGTCTGAAATGGCTCGTAATTGTAGCCAACTGGCACTGCTGAGGCTCACCACAGTCACATGGGGGCGTTCATTAGACTCACGCGCAAAAACGCCCCAACAACCAGAACTTGTGTGGGCTGAGGTTTACTGAGGAAGGGGCATTTTCACTTGGGTACAGTTTGCGGGATCCTCCGTTTCAGGAGATTCTGTATTTAATTTACTGTATGCCGGGGAGCTGACTCCTCGAAGAGCATCACTCCATGCAGGATGTTGCCTTCTTTCATCTCGTTGATTCGAACTGCCGGAATAATGGTTTGGTACCCTGTAATGGCGAACCCACTCCCGATTCCGTAAAATAAGGGGGCCCCACGTGACCGTCAGAAGTCACCGGGTGGAATGCCATCACCGATGTCTGCTGCATGCTTTTTGGAACTAAGATCACGTCTTCTGGGCTGGTTGCGATGTTACATGGTGTTTGCGGTTGTTCATATGTTCGGTTATGGGGATACCATCGTCGAAAAAGACCTGCACGTGCTTGCTCGCTTCTCCAAGCCCTTCAAGAGGAAACAATTTTTTTTAACGTCACAGCTGCTTCAACATCTATGTTGACACGTTAATATGCATCAATGCATAAGAGTGCATGTTTGAAGTGCTGGTATATCGCTTTCTCTTTTGAGTATTTTTGGAGTGATAAAGAAAATTTTTGAACATAATATAGGCTAATGAATACGTTTCCATGTTATGCAGGTTGTGTTGTAATTTTGAGTCGGCTGGTCACAGAACGTGGGCTTAAGCAAGCCACTATCAACTTAGTCCGCGCGCACATGCGTGCCAATACTCTAATTATGCTCCATCAAATGGCTGAAAGTAGTGTGTATCGAACAGACGTAAACGTTGGAGGAAGAGATGATATTGACTCATCCTTACATACCTATTGCATTGACACCGGCCGCTCCCCCGGTTTTCCAGGGGGGCTAAAAGGCAAAATTCAGTTAAATCAGAGGATCCTCGCAAACACAGTGGCGCGAGCTTACAACGAAGGTAGCCGTGCCTTTGTACTTTCGGTTAAACATTTATAGTTCGTTTTTTCTAAGTTCGACCCTCACTGTAATCGTCTCTTTGAACAAAGCACGAGAATTGTTAGCTGAATTACTGAGAAAACTGACTGACGCACATTGATTTCACAGACGATTAATTTCCTTCAAAGTATTTCTTGCTGGCTCTTAGTTCCCAGACTCCTAGCTCGTATTTGCCTATATTTACAACCCCACAGGGAAAGACGACTTGTCAGAAATTATAATTGAACTAGTCAATAAATCGTACGGTGTTTAACAGAAGGGTATATTATCGGCGTTAAAAACTTATTTGGAAAATATTATTCGTAACTCCAGTACAATGTGCGGTAACCAGTTTTTTTAAGTAATTCAGCTAACAATTCTCGTGCTATGTTCAAAGAGACGATTACAGTGAGGGTCGAACTTAAGAAAAACGAACTATAGTTATCTGTCTCCAGTCCGGAGCCAAACCAAGTTCTGCATCCCACTTACGTTCGCATGAACACGTTGCATTTAGTTTAGGTTTTACTAAAATTATATAAGCCCATTTCGTGGTACTTTCTACGTTGAATAACCTTTCCAATGTTATATGAGCATCTGACGCAGGTTCAGAGCATCGTTGCACCGATCGCCATTCCGATGGTCTTGCTGACCAGTGAGTTACACGTCATTATGTCCAAACCACTCCATTTCTGTTTTTATTCTAGTGCAGTAAACCACTTCTTTGACGGAAAGTTATACAAATTTTTTACATGTGTGATCTGCAATGCCTTCATTGCTCGCAATTGATACTTCGTAAATGATGATTCAATGTTTAAGTTCCGATTTAAAAACAAAACCTGTGTCATAATCTTGTTTCACCACTGCTCTGTAGTATCTGGGCCCATGCTGACAGTGCCTGGTCCCAGAACATTGGGAGATGTCTCCGTCGGATTTGCAAGACGCCAATGTTACATTGAAAGATATTGAACCTGTCGCTGACCTGAAAGTACTCATTTACAAATAATTTCCAGCTCGATTCTTTCGGATCCAACCAACGTTTGATCCATGCTACTTTAAGTGCGTTTGCGAACGATTCAACGTCTGGCGCCCCAATGCCACCTTCTAAGAACTGTCTCTTTGCTATTCCACGTTTTATTTTATCCTTCTTTCCCATATGAATTTAAATAACAACGATTCCAACTTTCTTATGTAGGCATTATCAGGATTCTCAATTACAGCGAACACGTGGACAAATTTAGAAAGCAAGAGTGATTTCACTAGAATTACTCTGCCGAGCGGCGTTAGACTCCTTTGTACCCATGGGGACATGGCCTCTCTATTTCTTCAAGCTTACCACTATAATTTATATCTCTTGTACGTTGACTGTCGGGAAGTATTTTGACACCGAGCAGTTCTAAAAAATCTCCTATTTTTAACCATTTCAGATTTAACTCCTGACAAATCGAGGCACCCCGATGCCTTGTAACACCCATCCATGAACATATCGTCTTTCCCATATTAAGCTGTAGACCTGAGACCACTCTGAATTCATTCAACACATTTACTGCATGCCTTAAGGAGCTTTCCGATCCATCTAAGATCAGAGTTAGGTCGTCTGCATATGCCGACGCTCCATATTGTTATATGACCGATTTCCTCTTTTAAACGCTCTCCATACTTCATCCCAAAAAGCCTCAACTTTTGGGCAATGTACAAATAAATGTGATGCTGTTTCTACAGCTCGTTTACAAAAAACGCACTGGTCATCCTCGACCATTCCGAACAACTTTAACATTTTTCTCGTTGGCATATTCTGTGCAAGATGCGAAATTGCAGCCATCTCAGAATTGAGAAAAGAGCATAGAATATGGTGTTAAGCTTCACTAAGCTGTAAGAACTTATTTGTTCTTTTAAGCTCGTTTAAAAATGAAAATTTTTAACATGGAAAGTCAATGGGAGTGTCTTTGTTGTTTAATAACTTTTGCGTTGAAGCTATTTTAAGTAAGAAGTTAATAATTTATACAACTTTTGATGCTCTTTCCAATGATATATAGAACGTTATTGCACGTTGTGCCATTTTTGTTTAATCTAGTAAAAAAGCACGGCATTACCGAGATTTAAGCTCAGACCTATATGGCCTTTGCTCAGGCAGTATACGAACAGGTGACGGGGATACCTCCCATAGAAGGATGCGACACGAATAATTGGGCGCTTTCATCTAGGAGATTTTTGCAGATATCTTTTTGATTTGTGAAAAAGACCAAAAAGCTGAATCTCTGGAATCCTAGCGGTATGCCAGCCGTTGATAAATTATTATCTTGCTGCGGCCGGGCGTTATTTGCGGTGTTTGCGTTGGCGGCTGGCGGGCGACTTTTAGTCGTTTTCGGTTAGCAGTTAGCGTCGGTGCGATGCGGGCGGTTTTATTTTTTCGGCGTTTCGGCGTTTTTTTTTGTGTGGTTTGCGGCGGTCGGGCGATTTTTTTGACGTTTGCGTTGGCGTTTCGGGCGTGCGTTTTGCATGTTTTGCGGTTTTACGTTTTGCGGCGGGCGGGCGTTTTTTTTGCGGTGTTTGTCTGGCGGCGGGCGGGCGGGCGGGCGATGCGGGCGGTTTTATTGTTTGCGTCGTTTGCGGGTGTTAATTTGTTTGCGATTGGTGGCCGCTTTTTCGCTTTTTGCGGTGTTTGCTTTTGGCGGCGGGCGGGCGATTTTTAGGCGTTTTCGGTTGGCGGTTAGCGGGCGTGCGATGCGGGCGGTTTTATTGTTTTGCGGCTTTTGCGTTTTTTTATTTGCGGTTTGCGGCGGGCGGGCGTTTGTTTATTTTTGCGACGTTTGCATTGGCGTTTCGGGCGTGCGTTTTGCACGTTTTCCGGTGTTTGCGTTTTGCGGCGGGCGGGCGTTTTTCACAATTCAAAGTCCAAACCTTCGGGCCACAGCGCTCCTCGAAAAGCGCTGTATCTTAGTACGGGGTATTCTCACCTTGCACACCTTACGCCAGTAACCGTTCACCTGCCTGCATGGGAGCCACAGTTCAACCAACACCGTTCAACCACATAGTTCAATTGGGAGTTCCGAAGACCGCAGTAACGTCTCCCCATTCGAAATTTGACATCCTACCCGCTCCTAAAGAACTGCGCTGGAGCAGCGGTCTGCAGCAGTTGGAGTTCTAAAAACAAAAGGAGTTCAGGACTTTCAAGAGCACAATTACTGTGCATTTCAGAAAAATGTTCTTGCAAGCAGGGACCCTCGACTGGCTGCATGCTCGTTGGCATAGCAGGTATGACGGGGAGAGGTCGTGGATGGATATGACTTAATCGCTGCACCAGCTTTGCAGTGTGCGCTGGTCACTTTCAGGGGGCATGCCCCCGCACTACGGTCTCTACGGTCGCAGGTTCGGGGGCATGTCCAACCCTAAAACCTGTCTTTATACATTAGGCTGCATTACGAACGTCAAATTATTTGGGGTCCGGACCCCCGGGACCCCACCAGTGGCGGAGCCCCTCGTCACTTTCATTGTAATAAGCAAGGCATGAGAAATCTTAGCCATACGCTAGTTATGCGTAGGGAACGAAACGTGCAACTGTGATACATGCTTTTTTAATGAAAATAGCTGACACCGGTTAATAAGCCCGCTTTATAAATCCAAACACCTTGTCACCAAGGTGGATTTATTAAGCGGATTCCACTGCACTTGGTCGATTGCGCTGAAAGTTGGCAGGTAGGCAGCACCCACTAGGCAATGCATATACATGTGCCACAGTTTGGGATGCTGCTGCGTACGCGCACGTGCAGGGGTCGTTTCCAGATCTCGAAACGGCTGGACCGATGGCGCTCAGTACGCGGTTAGGGACCAGTTAGTAGGGTGCCGTGCACAAGTTAGTTGGGACCCATTTTGCACGTGCGCACGTGCAGGGTGCCGCTTCCAGATCTCGAGAACGGCTGGGCCGATTGTGCTCAAATTTGGCACATCGCTAGAGACCGGTTAGTAGGGTGCCGTGCAAAAATCAGTTGCAGGTACCCCCTCGCGATTTCGCACGTGCAGGGCCCACCCTCTCGCTCGCTCCGTTAGTCGCCCCAAAAGGCGTTATCCTGGTTTAAGGTTTTATTACCAACCTATATAAATTCAGGCTGAGGCAATGCTGACTTGCCAATGTAAAATACGGGTAATAGATAGCTGATGTCAAAACATGAAAGATGCTCACTTGCAGCATCATGACTTTCAAATAATTTTTGTCTTACCTGGTGGTTGGAGTCGACTGATCATGACAAGTTACCTTGAATCGATTCAACATATGACTCGCGTTTCCTTGAATCGATTTAACCTGTGACTCAAACGGCCTATACATATGTGAATCGACTCGACTCATGATTCATTCAGCTTTCAAATTGTTTGATTCGATTCAACTCATGACTCGAAGAAAAATGATCGATTCTTGAATCGATTCATGATTCGACTCTGAGTCGTTTACAACCCTACCCCCATCCCTCAAAAATCCACGAGGACGCCCCAGCGCATTTGAGTAACACGTGACCGAAATGGCTTAAACATCTGGGACCGGCCGTACTACCGATTGGAGTCGGCGCGCCGCCGGTCGTGCAGCCACTGTTGCAGACCGTGACCGTGCGTTACCTGTATGAGCGTCTCCAGGGCGTCCAACACCACCATGCTGGCCTCTGCCGAGAGACAGCGCTCGGCGGCCGGCTCGGCCGGCTCGGCGACGCCGTCGGCGCGCTCCTCCTGCCGCCACTGGGGCGCCGTCTGCTCCTTGCGCCAGCGCAGACGGTCCGGCGTAGCGGCCGGCTGCTGGTGCTGAGACCGGCGCCGGATCAGCTCGCTGCGTGCCGAGCCGCCGCCCAGCAGCATGTCCTCCAGCCTCGACTTGGCCTCGACGGCGCGCGTGGGCCCGCGCCCCGTCGCCTGGGAGGCCAGCGGCGGCTGGCGGCCACCCTGGCCGACAGCAGACAAACGCAGGCCGGCCGTCAGCAACATAGCCATAATCCAATGAAACAGGGGCCATTGGGCCATCGCCAGATAGCCGTCAGAACTGAAATCCCATAACAAAGTTGTTATGGGATTTCGACATGCGAGCTCATCGCCAGTTTCCGGCGATGAGCTCGCATGTCGAATTTCCAACAGCTGGGGAATTACTGAGTGTGGTTGGTTGCGGCTGGTAGTTGCACACATACACCAGCCGGCGCCGGCCGTTCCTGGTGGACGGGCCAGCGGGCGCCCACCTTATACTCGAAGCAGGAGAGTGCGTTGTGCAGCAGCCGCAGCTGATGCAGTCGCGCCGGTCGGTACTCGGCCCAGGTGGCGCGCAGCACATCGGCGCGAGCATTCTTCAGCACCCAGATGTGCAGAGCAGCAGGTCGCGACTGGTGTCTGGCCGCACGTTCGCTGACCGCGCCTGTGGACCGCACAGATCACATCCGGCACCTCAGTACACCCGTGCATCAGCTGGCCTGCACAGGCCGCCGATACAACTCATGACAGGACATTAGTATCAGCCGCCTGCTTCTGCCTGCAGCTGGTAAGCGGTTTACATTCACTTTCAAAATCTTTCAAACTTTTGCTAATTGACAAAGCAACAAGTGGGCCATAGGCAGTGCTGGAAATGAGGCCGCTTTCTGGTCCCGGCGTTTTTTTCTCCGGGTGGATTACCCCCGTCCAGCGCTTAGCCTTTCGGGACCCACTCAGAGCAGCGGTTGTTTTCGCCGCTCGCCCTAGTCGGATGCAAAGTTAATAGTTT